AGGAGAGGAGAAGACTGAGCTCCCTCTCCCGCCCCCCTGCTGGGGGAACAAGAGCACAGCTTTCCCTGCTGCAGCAGGGTGCCAAGCTAAGTAAGCATTCCCCCTCATGCCCAGACCCCACACCCAAATCACCCTCGCTCCCCTCCCCCCACCAAGACCCCACATTCCCAGCTTGCTCTCACAGCTTTCCCTGCTGCAGCAGGGTGCCAAGCTAAGTAAGCATTCCCCCTCATGCCCAGACCCCACACCCAAATCACCCTCGCTCCCCTCCCCCCACCAAGACCCCACATTCCCAGCTTGCTCTGACACCCTGCTCCAGATATAAGACTGTTATTAGGGGTTCTGTGAAATTCTTTCGAGTTTAAAAGGGTTCCGTGGTCAAATACAATTGGGAAACAGTGCCCTAGTGTTCACCTATGCAGCTAGGGCAGTGGTCTCCAACCTTTTTACACCCAAGGTCCCTTTTTAAATCTCAGAACATGCAAAGACCTACTGCCCCACCCTTCCCCCAAGACCCCACCCCTTCCTTGAAGCCCCGCCCTCTCTATTCTCCTCCTCTCTATCACTTGCTATCCCCAGCCCTTATACACTCTACACTGCTACTTTTTTCCCCAATTCTTCTGTAGGTAGAGGTTTTTCCAATATTTGGCCTGTCTAGACTGGACCAAATGTTAGAAAAACCCCTTATTTTGGAATCCCCCTTATTCCTTGTGGAATAATGGTTAATAACCCTAACCCACTCCATTCTCTGTGGAACAAGGAATATAGGGGTTACCGAAAGAGCATGTTTGCTCTTCCACTAAAAAAAGCGGAAGAACAAATGCATCCCTGAGAGTGGAAGAGTTTTTCCAGGATATCTCTGGAATCCTGGAAAACCTCCTGCAGTCTAGCCGTACCCTCACTGGCAGGGCTCGACAAATGCACTCACCTGCTCACCCATGGCGAGTACATTTTTCCAGCTGGCGAGTGCAGGGGTGGACTGGCCCGGTGGGCCGTTGTGACGGGCTGGCCGAAGCCCACACTACGGGCAGCGTGGCCCCATGTGATCCGCCAGCTGGCGGAAAAGCACAGCACCAATGGGAAGAGGGAAGTACAGTGATTCTTCCCACCAGGCTGCCTGCATGCAGCTCCGGCACGAGGAGGCAGGGCGGGATGCCAGGACGCTGGTGTGACCTGGCCCCGCTGATTTTAAAGGGCCACGGCAGCTCGGCTCTGGCCGCGTGTCCCTGGGAGCTGGCCGCGGTGTGCGGCACAGCCAGGGCCCTCCCTGCCGGCTCCAGTCCTGCCACGGCCCCAGCCCCACTTTGTCTCCACGCCGCCCATTCCCCACGCCTCCCCTGCACCCCGGACCCTCTACTCTCCCTCTTCCTTGCAACCCTTTGGCTCTGCGCCGCCCTTACACCCCGCACCCTGCTCCCCCAATCTCTTCCCCCCAGCTCTGTGCTGCCCATTCTCTGCACTGCCCCTAGACCCCATTCCTCTGCCCCTCCCGTTCCCCACGTCCCATTCCCCGTGCCTCCACTGTACCCTGCTACCCCCGATCCCTGCATCCATCTGACTCTGTGCCTCCCGTTCCCAGCGCCACCCCCGTACTCCCCCACTGTTCCCTGCTCCCCTCTGGCTCTGTGCTGTCCCTGCACCCTGCTCCCCCTGTGGGTCGGGAGTGAAGGGTGCTTGCCCATAGGGAGGGGCTGGACAGGGCAGAGAAAAGGCTGCTTTGACCCAGCAGCGAATGAAAGGGGGAGTTCACTTGAAGCACCTTTGCCTTTATGGAAAAAAAATGAAAATGCTATTTGCTATTTATAGGGCTAAAATGCCGGACAAAAAAGAAAAGAAAACAAACAAACAAAAAACCATTGCAAAATGCAAACATGTGTAAAAGACAATAACAAAGGGGAGGGGCAAAAAACATTTTGCTTTGGGCAGCAAAAAAAACCTAGAACTGGCCCCTAGGGAGGGGAAGGGGCTGGGCTGGGTTGGGTTGTGGGGAGGGGAGGGGAAAATATGGGGAAGGGGCTTATGCTGAGGGAAGGAGGTCAGGAGAAGAATAATAAGAAGAAAGGGGAAGGCACCAAGGGACAAGGGTGCAGGAGAGACAAATGCAAGGGGGCCAAATGCCGACAATGAGGAAAAGGGCAGGAGGGGAGGTGTCAGTGGGAGGGCTTTGGGGGGGGCAGGGCCAGGTCAGGAGAAGAAGAAAGGGGAAAGCACCAAGGAACAGGGTGGAGGAGAGACAAATGTCGGGGGGCCAAGTGGAGACAATGAGGAAAAGGGCAGGAGGGGAGGTGTCAGTGGGAGGGGGGACAGGGTGATGCTGAGAGAGGAGAGGGGAAGGCCATTGTGGGTTTGAGGGGGAGGTGCTGGGAGATGTCTTGAAAGAAGGGGTGGGCATGAGGAAGGCAGGGATGGAGCAAGACGTGTGAGGGCACAAGTAATGGGAGCAAAGGGTGGTGAAGGGGATGGGTATCAGGGAAAAAGAGGGCAAAGGGGGCAGGGGCAGGGGCAGTGAGGGTAGGGGGAGGCACCAGGAGGGGGCAGGTGCCCGGG